CCACGTGTCCTCAGAAAAAACGCGCCCCTGCACGGCGGCCCGCCACGCACCTTATTACCGTGGGAGTGATCTCTGCACAGAAGAACACGCTGAGGCTCCCCACTGCATGGGAGGCGAACATGCCCACGATGGAGAAGGTGATGGAGAACTTGTCCTTGACGCTGTCGCTCATTCCTGGGGGAGAACCCGCGGGTGGTGAGGGGGGCGGAGGGCGGCCTGGGGCCGACGAAGGGTCTTCCCTCCTCCCCTCTGCCCGGTGTGAGGTGCAGACCCGGGAGATGCAGCAGCATGTCCTGGGGTGGGAGGTCAGAGCCCTTCTGGCAGGAGCCTTTCTCGGGTCCCCCGGGAGTCCCTACGGGTCTAAAACGTGGGGCTCCGGCTGACTGCCGGACGCCGTAGCCTAGAGCGGCCGGCAGGGAGGGAGGCTGGTGGTCTCCCCGACGCTATGGCAACGCTCCTGTCCAGCCTTCCGGCTCAGCTCCAGAGAAAGGTCTCTGGTTCCAGAGAGCCTGGCCATCCTGGCCTCAGGCCTGTCCAGTCCAATACAAGGGACAGGGTAGCCCAGACTTGACCGAGGGGAATGAGAACTCAACCCCAAAAGGAGAACTTATGGGCCTGGAGGGAGCGAGCTGGACCAACTGGAGCATCTTGCCAGTGGCACTGGGTCTGACCTCACACCCAGGTGGCGCTAGGTGGGCACAGCAAGCTGCTGGGGTCCCACATTTGGGGCGCAGCCCAGTTCCCCACAAGGCTGCACTGGGAGCCCTGGCGGCATGGGCTCGGTCAGGCCAGGCACGTGTGCACAGCAGTGTCGCGTGCGGGGCAGAGGCTATGCCGTCCCAGAGGCCGAGAGCAGCAGGCTTGCGTCGCTCACAGGCGGGGACAGATGCTTCCCCTGGCAGCGTGGTCAGCCAGGCCCCCAGGGCCCCCAGGGCCGTGTGGCCCAGCCCAGGCCTGTCCCCAAGGCCCTGCGTCACAGTGGAGGCTGCTGGGCTATGCTGGCCACTGGTGCCAGGGGCGAGGGCACCATGCAAGCCGGGCACAAAGCGGGCGGGGGGTGGGCGGCCCAACTTTCTAGAGGCGCGAGGGGCAGAGAGGACAAGTGGGTGAGTGTCGTGTCCAACCTACGGCCAACTTCAGCTGCCACTCTTGGGGTGAAAGGGGGAGGGGAGAGAGAGAAGGAAACCACAGGTCTGTGAGTCTTTGTGAAAATGCCCTGCAGGTACAAATAAAAAAGACAACGGTGCCGCATGTGCGTTCGGCTCACCTGAGTCTGGATGCTGGCTGTATTTTCCGATCACTGGACCGCAGAAACGGCGGCAGACCGAGGAGGAAGGCGGGCAGGGAGGGGAGAAAGAGAGCAGGTCGGATGGAAGTTACCACCGCGTGCTTCCACGTGACTGGTTTCTAAGCACACCCCCTCCGGGGCCAGCAGGGGTGGCCTTGCAGCCAGCCCACCAGGCCCACTCGGGGAGCCCAGCTTACGCCACCAGGGGCCAGAGCGCAGGAGGGACGTGGCGCAGATGTGGGGGAGGGTCCAGGGCATCAGGGCTGGCATTTGACCAAATGGAGCTCCTTCTGTTCAGAAGGGAGAGCTGGGCCCCTCTGGCCTCGTGACCTGGGGAGGACGCCAGCTCCTGAGAGCAGGGGCCTGCGCGCAGCGCCCGCCCTCAAGCCAAAGGGGGAATCTCGGACTTAACTTTGGATTTAATGTCCAAAGTTACTCAAGTCACTGCTGGTCTGTGCTCGGGGCACTGAGTGCTGTGGGCAGGCCCGGCAGACAGCATCGCTGTGCCCTCCCACCCTGGTCCCCACGGTGCCTGGTCTCCTGGGCATCCCTGCTCAGGGACTAAGAAGGGCGTCTGGAAGCGCCGGGGCTGCTGTGCCCCTGCACGTCCGCCCAACCGGGGGGAGCTGCAGAAGACTCCCCGAAGGGCAGCTTGGGCGGCCCCACTGGGGGACAGACCCCACGTTGTCACAGTTGAAAATGAGACCAGTCTCCCGGCAAGACGCGAAACGCACGTGAACTTGCCCAAGTCAGAAAACTGCTCCTGAGTCTGACACTGGCTATTCTAGAATCCAGTTTGCACAAGGCTGAGAAAGTCCTCGGTTTTCTCTTTCTCTTCCTTCTGTTCTGGATTCTCCCTCCCCACCTGGACATCACGCAGACCTGAAACACTACTGCGGGCTTCCCAGCAGCGCTGATCAAGCTCTGACAGCTCAGGGGCGAGGGCAGCCATCAGAGCCACGGGGTCCTCGCGGCGCCTGAGTCCACTGGGGGGGGGGGGGGGGGCG